TATATATTTTCGCTAAATTTCACTATTTGGCATTTGATTGGAATCTCATAAGACTTCCAATACTTTCCGAGTGATTCTAAACATAGTTTTACTTAATTTCTAGTAAAAACTATATGTTAGAACTCAACACTCGATATCACATAATATTATTTACTTAAAACACGATTTCAAAACGTGTATGTTACAAATACCTCGTCCTTTTGAGGATTTCATCCCCAAAATCATAACGATAAAAATGACTGGGAATATTTCGCTCTTATTTCATTCTTATTTTCTTAATTATAAATTTGGGCCTCGATGGTGTTTCCACTTGACGTGCACCAACTCCAGGACATATGCACAAAGCATATCTTCTACCGTTTGAATTGTTCTCTCCGTCTGAACATCTCATTCTTCAATTCTCTGACTAAAATTTCGTCACTACATGAGACATGGTTGTCTGAACCAATCACCTCACTTCGCATACCTATTTTAGTCGGACGTGATTCTTTACGACCATTAAGGTCTGAACGAAAATCATATTCTTAGTCATCACCGAAACGAAGGTAATGACATAATCGAACAAAAACGGAATCGATTACTAGCTTCTTGGTAACCTTCTGACTTTCCCTGATCCAAGTGTGAGTCCTGTGCTTCCAGTAGTATAGGCCTCTACTACTATTCACACCTACTCATACTCGTCCCAAGTATTGTCTCGCAGTTCCCAAGTCACCATTCTTTTTGTGTTCTTCGAAAGTCTGCCGAATAATACCAGTAAGTTTACACAAGAGTCGCTCCTCTCGAGAGGGGATACTGAAGTATTTACTTCACCAGGTTGAGGACCTCCACCCACCTCAGGGGTATGGCTACCTTCCTGTTCAGCCATTCTTCTGAAAATTTGGAGTGATATAGTATTTTAGAATATTAGGATTTATTATTACCTAATACTTTACTTAAGTCTTTCCTATGGTTTGTATCCATATACTCCTACTGAATCCGTTCATATATTGAACTTCTGACGGTTTAAGTCTAAATACCAATCCGCAGAATTTAGTTCACTTAAACCACCGCTCTGATACCATGATTGAAAGACCCTAACTTTCGTACTAAAGACATTGTCACACCAAAACATGCAACATGCATATTTATAAAACAATATCTTACATTGATAAAGTGATTACAAAAGATTGGATACAAACCGACTATGTTTTTAATATTTTACATAACTACCCAGGATATTGTAATTTTATATAAACATAAACCGAAATACAAAAGTAGTATTACAACTATTCTAAACCTTCCAACAGTATATGACTATACTGGTTACTTATCTCCTGCGAATTTGTTAAACATTGAGAGGGTAAGCGGTGACGCTTAGTGAGTTCAATAATAGATACAATATAACGTTATGCCATATATATATACTTCAACATGGCAGAAGCAAAGAGGAACAAGGAACAACAAAGGCATATGTGAATCATGAGACAAACTTTCCCTATCAATCAATGATTTGATTCAAAGATATACGATCAATGAGACATGACAATTTCTATACTTGATATACACCAATAAAGCTTCGGCCCAAATGGCACAGAAGACACACACTTTCTGATTTAAACATTTCGGTAGATTTCAGGCTTATAGCCCTGTCTAACCATCTGCCAATGCCATAGAATAGAAGTCATTCTCTTACGGAGACATGCTCTACATGGCCAGAGGCTACGTACCAGTACCATTGTGAATCTAAGTCCTTTCACTGATCACATGGTCAAAGGTATAACTTTGCTATCATAAATAGCAGAAATAAAAATAACACGGGAAAATAAACCGGAATAATAACACTGAAAAGCACATAGCACATATAACACATAACATACAATTGTTCCTATATATTAAATTCACCATGAAATAACCGAGGGTTAAATTAGTAATTTGGGCAGCACTTCGGCTCTAAATATGACTTCCTTCGTTGAAAACCGGGAGTTTTCTTGAAAACCGGGCTCTGCGAAGGTTGGGCTTCGAAAACGAAAAGATAAATTTTTCGAGCTTCTCGGGAATTTCGGGGCGTGTTTCGGGCGTTGGAATTAATCCCGGGGCTTCGGGGGATATCAAAGTGGTGAAAATATGGAAAAATGGTGAAAAAGGGCAAATTTCCTAACTTTTGCCGGGAGGGTTCGCATGCACTATTTATAGGGCGAAGGTCCGGATCCGAAGCGAGGGGAAGAAGGCAGGTGGCTGCGAGGCTCGGACCAGCTGGCTGCTTCGGCGAGGGTCGGATGCGAGGGTCGGACAGATGTGCGCTTCGGATTGGTCGGATGATGCGACTACTTCCTCGGTCGAATTAGGAAGCTACACGCGGGTCGGGCACGAGGGAAGCATGCGAGGTTCACGTGACCGACTTCGGACACCTGTATGACACGCGTCGCTTCTCGGATGCGCCACGCAGCTGCTTCGGACACGTGGCCAGCTCAGAGCGAGGGTGACGTGGCTGTCACTATTCATGCGAATTTTCTCGAGAATTGTGCCAAATCTTGTAAAATCCATAACTTTCTCATACGGTCTCCGTTTTTGACGTTCTTTATATGCACGCGTAGGGAAAATTATGCTCTACGACTTTTGTTTAGACTTCGTCGGAAAATTTTGACTTTATTTTTATATTATTATTTTTAACAGACCGGGACTGGTAAATCCGTTAAAAATTCATAACTTCTTCATCCGACGTCCGTTTTCGTCAGACTTTTTACCGTTGTACTGCTAATGACGAGATCTTCGATTCTCGTTTAGGTTGTGTCGGCTAAAAATCACTCGATCTAAAATTCGAGTTTTTAGCTGTCTACTGCTAAGCTGAAACTTAGAAAAATCATAACTTTATCATACGAAGTCAGATTTTGGCGTTCTTTTTATCAAAATTCTCGGTTTAACGAATACTATGACTTTCATTTAGATCACTAAGGCTAAAAAGTAGTTTATCAAAAACTCACTTTTTACGTCATTCGGCGCCGTGCCGGTTTTGTCGCGGATCTTCGATTGGTCATAACTTCTTCGTTATAACTCGGATTTCGATGAAGTTTTCGCGTAAATGCTTCTAATAAGATTCTCTACAACTTTCAATAATAAAATTTTACTTATTTCAAATTATATATTTTCGCTAAATTTCACTATTTGACATTTGATTGGAATCTCATAAGACTTCCAATAAATTCCGAGTGATTCTAAACATAGTTTTACTTCATTTCTAGTAAAAATTATCTGTTAGAACTCAACACTCGATATCACATAATATTATTTACTTAAAACACGATTTCAAAACGTGTATGTTACACTTTTACAATTGACAAATACTATTTCTGACTTATTAGATTTTCGAAAAGTTAAGGCTATCCGGAGTGGATAGCTATCCACGCGTGAATGGCTGAGCTGGAGTGGCTAAGGACGCGTGAACACCACCCCCAGACCCGATGGTTTGGGTGTGACGTGGCCATGGAGACGGACGAAGATGTGGCATTTGATTGGTCCGTTCACATTTCCTCTCTTTATCTCTCTCTTCTTTTTGCACCTTCACCGCCTAACCACCGGTGAACACCACCCCCAACCTTGGTGGTTTAGGTGTGGAACTCCATCAATATCTACGTGACATCACCTTTATTTCCAAACCACGCGTGACCATTGTAGATAGCCTTAATAAAATGTTTTCAAATGAAGTCCCAAACACCCTCCAAATTTCTTTTTTTCTAAATATGGCTGCCAAATATAATCTCTCCCATATATAGCGTCCTATCGTACGCCTTTGAATGTATATTGTTCAAAATACAATTTCTACTCTTTGAGTTTTTAACACTTTGTGTTTGCTTATTTCGGTTATGCATCATTAGTTATTATGAAATAGCGGTTTATTAGTAAGTAATTAGTTACCGGTTAATTATTTATTTTGATTTGGATTTTAATTGGTGAAATACATGTTGATTTTGTCTATTGCCGGCCAAAATGTTGTCATTTCAAATCCAGAAATGTGTATTATTGTAAATGTCAAATTTATTGTTTTGTAAGTTTAAAACTTTACTTTGTTGTGGTTTTCTTTGTATGGTCTAACAAGGTGCTTTTCTCCTTCTTGAGATTAAATATATTTGTTACAGTTGTAAACTAACATAGTTTTTGACTTTAAAAGGATAAAAATAATAATAATAATAATAATAACTTGTATTAACTATTTGATTGTGATTTTGTTGTAAAACACACAACGAGTCAAAACCGATTTAATTTACTGCTCATATTATTGAACACTGTTTCCGCAATCATTGAAAAAGTTGAAGACCAAAACAAACTCGACATGTATTGACCAAAACGATCTTAATCATAAGTAAAGCGTACATGAATAAGTCATGTATATCGTCATAAAAAAGAGAACGCGTTAAGAAATCAAGACGATGTTTTTCAATATTTTAACGAATAAGTAAAGTCTAATAATATGCTAGTTTTATGCCATTTGTCATGTTTACGTTTTGTGGGGTTAATTGGCCAAAATCAGAAATATTTAAAAACCAAAAACGTCAAAACATAGTCATAGATGAAATTTTTTGGATATGATGGTTTTTCTATAACTTTCAGCATGGGACGTTACGTAATTTTTCAAAGCTAAAAACTTATGTTCGTTTAAAATAAAACTGTATATATTCCATGACATTTGTAATTAGGTGGATATATAAGTTCTGAATATTTTAAAAAACATGTGTATATGTTCATATGTAGTTGTATAGTTGAATATGGAGAAAGGATTAAAGAATAGAGAGACGTAACAGTCGATGATGATGGCCGAATCATAGATATATGCTAAGATCCAATTCCACCATTAAATAAAAAAGCCGGCTTTAACTTCTTTGTAAAATTTCCAATTATGAAGATGACAGAATCAGAGATGCCATTCTACAGAAACAACTGACATTTGCTTGCTTATTTAACATAAACAACACTAGGGTTTTACTCATACTTCTTACATTTTTTAGATTTGTATTGCATAACTCATTATGGAGAAAAGTAGTAAAGATAATAAAGATGGAATTTTTAGGTACGCAGAAGGGTATGACAAGTTTCTGATGTTTTGTGGGACATTAGGAAGCATAGGAGATGGGTTGCAGATTCCATTAATGATGTATGTTCTTAGTGATGTCATTAACGATTTTGGAAATCCAAATGCCAAACTCTCTAATTCCATTGTTGATAAGGTAATTCATGATTCCATCACTTCATTCTTTGTGTTTTAATCACATTTTTTGTGTCGGTTTTCATTTATTTTCTGTTTCAGTATTCTCTCAGGTTGCTCTATGTTGCAATATTGGTTGGATTATCGGCTTTCATTGGTAATTAATTTGGTTTACTTCCATTTCTAGCATGCATGCATGATCCTTGAGTTCATGAATTATATAACCAGTTTTAAGGATTTTGAATTCATTGTTTTTGCAGAAGGACTTTGTTGGGCTAGAACTGCAGAGCGACAAACTTCTAGAATGCGATTAGAGTACCTTAAATCTGTCCTTAAACAAGATGTTGGTTTTTTTGACACGCAAGAAGCCGGTTCCTCCACTACATATCAAGTTGTTTCAACTATCACTGCTGATTCCAACATGATCCAAATCACCATTGGTGAAAAGGTTGTCCTTTTGCTAACCAACTTCGCTTCTTCGATTCGAATGTTAGATATGTAGAGTCCTCAATTTTCTTTAAAAAGATATGATACCATGTTAGGAATATAGAGTCCTACATTTTCTCTAAAAAAATCCCACAAAATTAGAGTGGAAGTCTCGTAATAGAAGACCACTCTAACATTGTGTTGAGTCCTAAAACGTTAGACATGAACTCTGATACCATGTTAGAAATCTAGAGTCCTAGATTTTCTTTTAAAGAGAGTCTTTAAAGGAAAAAGTAGAGACTCCAACATATATAAAAGTGAATGGACTGTATCTAGCTGATGTTAAGCGAGTAATTAGTAAACAAGCATTTTCATTGGTAAATTTTAATCTTTTTTGTCTTGGTCTAATCGGATTTTGTTTTTTTTTTTTGTAAATATAGATACCAAATTGTCTTGCCTACTTGTCATCCTTCTTCTTCTGCCACATATTCGCATTCGTTCTCTCATGGCGGATTACACTTGCGGCTCTTCCATTCACCGTCATCTTCCTTGTTCCAGCTCTTGGATTTGGCAAGCACATGATGGATGTAGCAATGTTAATGGTTGCATCATATGGCACTGCGGGTAGTATTGCAGAACAAGCAATTTCTTCCATAAGAACTGTGTATTCTTACGTTGGAGAGAGACAAACCATCAATAAATTCAGCAAGGCACTTGAAACAATTACTCAACTAGGAATCAAGGTAGGTCTTGCTAGAGGACTTATGCTCGGAAGCATGGGAACTATCTATGTTAGTTGGGCGTTTCAGGCTTGGGTTGGATCACTTCTTGTAAGCAAACATGGCGAAAAGGGTGGCGATGTTTTTGTAGCTGGATTCAACGTGCTCATGGGAGGATTGTAAGCTCATTTAGTTTCTTAATTGTTGATATCCTATGTCATCTAGATATGGTCCCATATGCCTTTTTATATATATATATATATATATATATATATATATATATATATGTTGGAATCTCTGAAGAGGAAAACAGACTCCACATCTCTAACATGGTATCACATCTGACTCGGCACACGTCTAGCATAATATCTAACATGGTATTAGAGTTGACGTCTTGTCCATAAAGACTATTTTTTAGAAAAAATTTAAGGCTCCATCTATCTCTCATGGTATCAGAGCCAGAGCCAGGATCAAATTTCATCAAACTTCTGTCTTAAGGGGTTGTGTTGGTGTCTCTTGAAGTGTATTTGAGCTAAACCAACTCACAAGAAACTCGAGACAACTCGAAAAGTATTTGAAATCAACTCGAGTTTAACCAAACATAAAATACTCAACTCCTAAAGTTCACTAGCTTAATCGATTGAGTTTAATAAAATTACATTTTGATACTTTTATATATCTATTTAAAATATTTTTATAAAAACCTTTTGACAAAGTACTGAAACTAGCCACCACCGAATATTATCATTTTGGTTTCATTAAACTCCGTCTTAAAGCGTATTTCTAACTCATTATCTGCTAAAATGAATTCAAAATGTAATCCAATTTTATTGCAAATGGATGAATTGCATCTTTTTAAAGCTGACCTTGAACGTATCGATTATTTCACGAGCTTGAGTTGAGCTTGAAAATCAGGGCCCAATCAAGCTTGAGTTTTTATTTAAGTCGAGTTTCGAGCTTGACACTACTCAACTTTGCTTATTATACCCCTATGTGTCACACATCAAACACAACCCGTTTGTCTCTATGTATGTTGGAGTCTTCCTCTTTTAAGCATTAATTTTGCGTGAAAATCAACGACACTATATGCCCCACATTTACTCCGGCTACACTTTCTTTTTCTAAGTTGATTAGAGCATAAAGCTCAAAAATCTTTCAAAACTTACAGGAACATTTTGACAACACTCCCAAATCTTACCGCAATAACGGAATCACAAGGGGCTGCTACTCGAATTAATGAGATGATCAACAGAAATCCAACCATAGACTCTGAAGATAAGAAAGGAAAGGCGTTATCATACGTCAGAGGGGAAATCGAGTTAAAGGGCATCTACTTTAGCTACCCATCAAGGCCAGATACCGCAATCTTACAAGGTTTAAATCTACGAGTACCATCTGGTAAAACTGTCGGTCTAGTTGGAGGCAGTGGTTCAGGCAAATCAACCATTATATCATTACTTCAACGGTTTTATGATCCAATAGAGGGTGAAATTTTCTTGGATGGATACAAGATAAAGAAACTTCATCTTAAATGGTTAAGATCCCAAATAGGTTTGGTTAATCAAGAACCAATTCTCTTTGCAACATCTATTAGAGAAAACATCTTGTTTGGAAAAGAAGGAGCTTCCATGGATGATGTTGTGGTAGCGGCTAAGGGCGCAAATGCACATGATTTCATAGTTAAGTTGCCAGATGGATACGAAACCAATGTAAGTCGAATTATATTTATATCTTTTACAAAGTAAAGAAAATAAAATACTCCACATATCTAACATAATATCATGGTATCAGAACTAGTATCTAATCAGCCAAACACATTCGCATCTGCCTCTCTCTCTCTCTCTCTCTCTCTCTCTCTATATATATATATATATATATATATATATATATATATATATATATATATATATATATATATATATATTTTCATGTAGAGTTCTCTTATAGAAATTCAAAGACTTCATTTACCTAACATGATCTTACATTACTTGTTTAAAGGTTGGACAATTTGGATTTCAACTATCGGGTGGGCAAAAGCAACGAATTGCAATCGCTCGAGCCCTAATTAGAGACCCGAAAATCTTGCTACTTGATGAAGCAACAAGTGCACTCGATGCACAATCCGAAAGAGTCGTTCAAGAAGCCATAGATCAAGCTTCGGTTGGAAGAACAACAATTGTAATCGCACACCGACTCTCCACAATTCGAAAAGCCAATCTAATTTACGTCCTTCGATCCGGGAAAGTACTTGAATCAGGTTCACACGATGAGCTCATGCAAATGGGCAACGAATACTTTGAAATGGTGCAACTACAACAATCGGCACCACAAAATGAATTAACCCCACGGTCTAGTGCTAGTAACCACACGAGCCGTTACCGAGCCATGGTTGCACCAAGTCCAGCAAGTGCAAGATCAAGTGCACCAGGGACACCATCATTGAACCCATTTAGCCCGGCTTTCTCCGTGAGTGCACCCTACTCGGTCCAATACGATGCATCTTATGAAAGTTTAGACGAAGATGGTTCGAACCAACCGGCTCACCCAGCCCCATCTCAAATCCGGTTACTTAAAATGAATACACCCGAATGGGGTAAAGCTTTATGGGGTTGTATAGGGGCTATAGCTTCGGGTGCGGTTCAACCGATTAATGCTTATTGTGTAGGTGGGTTGATTAACGTTTATTTTCGGCCAGATAAATCATCGATTGTGGGACACGCGCGGGTCTACTCGTTCGTGTTCTTAGGGCTTGGGGTTTTTAACTTTTTCTCGAGTGTAATCCAACATTATAGCTTTGCAGTCATGGGAGAGAAGTTGACCACAAGGGTACGTGAGAAACTACTTGAAAAGCTTTTGACTTTTGAGATTGGATGGTATGATCAAGATGAAAACACAAGTGCAGCGATTTGTGCACGTTTATCAACCGAAGCTAATATGGTCCGTTCACTAGTTGGAGACCGGTTATCTTTACTAACTCAAGCTTTTTTCGGCGCCATTTTTGCTTACACTTTGGGAATTGTACTCTCATGGCGGCTGGCTCTTGTTTTGATGGCGGCTCAGCCATTTCTCATTGGAAGCTTCTACGCTAGGAGTGTTTTAATGAAGAGTTTATCTGAGAAGTCTCAAAAAGCTCAAAAAGAAGGAAGTCAATTAGCAAGTGAAGCTGTTATAAACCATCGAACGATTACAGCGTTTTCATCTCAAAAGCGGATAATCGGACTGTTTAAGGATACTTTAGAAGGTCCCCGGAAGGAAAGTGTCCGGCAGTCTTATTTCTCCGGGATTGGTCTCTTTAGCTCACAGTTTCTTGCAGCGGCTTCAACTGCATTGGCATATTGGTATGGAGGTAGGCTGTTGACACAAGGGTTGATAGAACCAGCGAAGCTTTTTCAAGCGTTTTTGGTATTACTGTTCACAGCTTACACCATAGCAGACGCTGGAAGCATGACGAAAGATATCTCAAGAGGAAGCAATGCAGTTGGTTCAGTGTTTGCGATTCTTGATAAGACAACTGAAATCGATCCAGATACTTCATGGGGACGTGAGTCTATTAAAGGGAACATAAGGGGTCGTGTAGAGTTGAAAAACGTCTTTTTTGCTTACCCATCTAGACCAGATCAGATGGTGTTCAAAGGAATAAACCTTAAAATCAGGCAAGGAACTTCAATGGCGCTTGTGGGTCCGAGTGGGTCTGGTAAATCGACTGTTATTGGGTTGATCGAAAGGTTTTATGATCCGTTGAAAGGTGCTGTTTTTATCGATGAACGAGATATAAAAGATTATAACTTGAGAGCTTTGAGGTTGCATATCGCGCTAGTGAGTCAAGAACCAACGTTGTTCGCAGGAACAATCCATGAAAACATTGCTTATGGGAAACCAGGTGCTAAAGAATCTGAGATCAGAAAGGCTGCGATGCTTGCAAATGCCCATGAGTTCATAAGGTATACTAAAGTACTAAACTTCATGAAATTTGCCACTTTTTTTTATTTAGATTGAATTCGCTAACTTTATAAGAATGTGATTGAATGCAGTGGAATGAAAGATGGTTATGAGACATACTGTGGAGAAAGGGGAGTGCAGTTATCCGGTGGTCAGAAACAGAGAATAGCGTTGGCTCGTGCGATGCTCAAGAACCCTAGTATTCTTCTGTTGGACGAGGCGACGAGTGCTCTTGATACTGTTTCAGAGAGTTTGGTTCAAGAAGCGTTGGAGAAGATGATGAAAGGGAGGACGTGTATTGTGGTGGCTCATCGTCTTTCTACCATACAGAAGTCCGATTCGATTGCGGTGATTCAAGATGGGAAAGTGGCGGAGCAAGGGTCGCATTCTGATCTGTTGTCTGTACGCGGCGGAGCGTATTCTAACCTTGTCAAAATGCAAGGTGGTAACTCGCCTTACCGGTGATGAAACACGGCGGTGAGTGGGTTACGAGGGTTTTGTAAATTGAAGAAAAGATTGTTTTGAGATAATATTTTCCACTTTTTTCTATCAAAAATAATACAACGAAAATTACGACATTTGATGCATACAAAAGAAAAGGAATTGACACATTAGTCTCACAAACTATTTGGATTCATTCTCAAAACCTTGTTTGATGCTCATATATGAGGACATAAAATACTTTTGTGGTCTATGCTACCTACTTGATATAGCAGTTTTCAACTAAATAATCAACTTAAAAGCCAAAATTAAGATTTACCCATTTCACCTTTTTCTAATTCGTATCTTTTACCAATCCTAACCGTGATTTCTGGCTAGAGAAATTGAATTCTAATCAGAGAATTGAATCAAATTTTACAACTCCATCATCATGAAAATTGTCACCGACTTGTTGACGTGAGAAGAACAGTGAGGCTGGATTCCGAGATGAAATAAAGCTTCATCAATTGTTGATTTTCGTATGATTTTATAACTTTCAATACACTCTCTTCCGTAACCACAACTAATCATCGTATCAGCTATCAACATAAGAGTTGAAATTGCAATCATCGACAGTGTTTCAACATCAGAACCGAGATCTGTAGTTGTCGTTCATCTTCCAATTCAGTGATGGACAATATCAATCGAGAAGGCCAACTAGAAACATATGTAGGCTCCAAGTACTCATAATTATCTAATAAGATTAGATGAAACTGTTTCTCGAGACATTTCATTGCTATTTGCATTAATGTCTGAGCAATGGCAAGCATCTCTGATCTCGGATCATTTTGAAAAATGAGGAAACGCATAGTGTGGTGTAGTCCTGTGACACATGTTGACTTTTAAGTAATTGTTTTGAATAAAACATAAAACAAAGCCGATGTGGCTTATATCAGGTAATATGGACCAAAAAAAACTAATGGATATCTACTTTATGTCCACATAATGCACTAAAAAAAGTTTTGAAACTGAACTTGAATTCAAAATAGTTTGTGGTGCTAATGTGTTATTATCCCTAAAGTAATAAATGGTACATGTGGTTTGGATTTATATCAACTTTGGTCTCAAGTCGACTTAAAATAATCATTTGGATTTATTTTGATTTGATTTGCAATCAAATTAAAATTAGACTATATGGCATGGATATAATATGAGGTGCGTTATGCCGACGTAGCACGTGTCGTAATGCGTGACCCCCCTCCCCATAACCACCACGGGTCTATTATGTTATGCTCTGTCACCCGAGTAAAGAAAGAAATGAGTAGCAAGAAGGGTGGTATGGGTGGAGGCGCTTGGCAGGCGGAAACAACCCCTAGGGCAGAGAAAAGGTGAAGCAAAACCGGAGCACAAGCAAACTATGTTGGAGGAGAGGAGATTTGTCGTATAGTTTTTTTTATCTAGGTTAGGTTTTTGAAGATTCAATTTGGGTGCGGGAAGAAAGAGGGATTTCAATGTTTTAAAATCTTTTTTTTATTTGAATCGGACTACTAATAAGTTTTTAGTTCAATCAGTTCGACTGTGTTTAATCATGTTTTCATATTTTTTTATCCATAACTATAAATCATTATGATAATGTACTATATTATAAATTACATAACAGTTGAAAAGTAAAAGACTTCCAAGTTGAGAAGGTCGGCGCCAGACATGTGCGTCAAAGTTGTGTTTAGTAGCATGCGTCGTTGTTATTCGAGTTGTATACACTTCGGATAACCTAGTCGACCGAGTTGTTAAATTTGCTTTGGAAATGTATTGTTTTTAACGGGCCGATTGAAATTCAACTTTCAAGTCTAATCGACCAATTTAAACATTTTTTACCGGTTCTATCACATAAGTTCTGTTAGGACATAAAATTTGTGGTTTATACTTTGCTTTTCATAGCTTTTAGAGTTCTCGGTCTAAGTACCGAAAACACCATGGTTTCGGTGTTGTGTGGACCGAAATCTATTAATGATTTCGGTTGGGCTTTGGGCTAGGCTTTGTATTAGGTCTAGGTATATATTGTTTTGTTTAAGACATGTAAAAGGGGATTCCATGATAGTCATATCGAGTTCAAGAGAGAACCGAGAGTAATTCATCATCTTATGTACTCGAGTATTATCAATATAGTGTGCATTGAAGATTTGGTAATTGTGTTCTTGTTCCATATTACGATTGTGGTATTTACTAGATTTGGATTCCGCATCCATTCTAGTGATTTCGATTGATACACAAAATTGGGTTTTACAATTGGTATCAGAGCTTGGATCGTTATCAATCGATTTGGCAAAGTATTAAACATTTCTTGGAGTTGTTCTTGGTGGTTTTGAATTCTTTTTGACGAAATAATTTCCATTGTTCTTTGTGTTCTTCACTATTTTAGAGAGTTTGATCGAGTTTGGCTTTGAAAATCTACAAATTTCGTGTTTTTGGCTATTTTTGGGAGTCTTCGGTCAAAGATTCGGAGTTCTCGGTGGCAATCTTTAGTTCTCGGTTAGGTTTAAAAGTTCTCGGCGGCCAGCTGTTAGTTCTCGGTTAGGGCAGCTCCTCGGACTCAACTTCGGAGTTCTCGGTCTCTTCTTCGGAGTTCTTGGTCTCGGCTTCAGAGTTCTCGGTCTCAACTTCGGAGTTCTCGGTTGCGAATCTGTGTTCTCGGCTCCACATCCTCGGTTCAGTTTATCGGTTGTGAGGTTTCGGTTAAGGTTTTCGGTCAAGAATCCAAGTTCTCGGTCAAGAATCTAAGTTCTCGGTCAAGATTTTCTTTCTGACAAAAAGGTTGACTTTCAAGGTTCTCGATCAACAGAGTGTTGACCATTGGTGTTTTCGGTCAGAGAAGCATTTATTCTTGATTTTCGATCAAAATCTATTTACACAATCAGATTCATTTTGGTAAATAATGAGTTCTTACAACAATACCAAGGAGGTTAATGAAGCCTCATGCTCTTAGTCCTGTGAAGCTAAAATTAAACATTATCGCGATCAACATGATTTATTAATTAGGGAAACTGAGGATCATAAATATGAAGGCTATACTCTCAGAAAGGCCCAAAAAACCTTAAAATAAAAATTGGAGGCCCAAACCAAAGATCTAAAAAGAATTAAGGAAGAATACAATACTAAATGTGAACACTATGATTATGCTCAAGAAAATATTGTCAGTCTAACTGTCGAGCTTAACACATTGAAAATTAAGTTTGAGAATACAGACTTTAATTTTAAAAAATTTGATGTGTCAAGTAAGAAAGTTGAGACAATGATTGAAAAGCAACTTAGATGGAAAGACAAAAAGAATGTAGGTCTAGGGTATGATAGTATTCCTCCTCCATTCAATGATAATTACACTTTTACTCCTCTAACTGAGGAAGAAATAGCAAGGGAAGCACATATATAGTATGGCAAACCTACTATAGTTGAGACAGTAAATAATGATAGCGTGAACGATACTAATGCTTCTACCTCATGTGCAGATAAGGTCACAGTGAAAGATGGGCATGAGCAGAACAAAAATAATTCCAGTTCAACTGAAAATGATTCAAAATCGTGTGATGATGATGCTCACACTGTTGAAAATCTCAAGCCACAAAAATCTGTTAAATAGTCTGATAAATGTTTATGTGCTTGTGCTTGTGGAAGTTCCTTGAAACAAACTTCATTTGGACAAGGACCAAGTCACAATCTTATTTATTTGAAAAGACAGACTTGTTTTAACTGTGGGACTCCCGGTTACATTGCTAGAAATTTCCCACATCGTTCCTATGTTCCCTACTATGAACAAGGTTGGCAAAACGTACCAATGGAGAGATCTTTCAAAAGAAATCCTTCGAGGTCACGTTCATGCAATGGTGACTGGATTGCTAAAAATGCCAAGAATCAGATTTCCAAGGACAAGAAAGGTATGCCAGACAATAAGCCTAATTCAAGAAATGGTTCAACCAAATCAAATTTGGTGAGGTCGAATTCATCTCAAGGGTCGTCCTCTAGCTCATAGTCACAATACAAGCCCAAATGAAAAAAATTTCCCACCTCGAAGGCTAGTGAGAAAGGTCCCTTTCGGTTCAACAAGAAAGTACCCAAACCTAATTACCAATGGGTTCCCAAAGGTCATATTTCAAAAACGTCCCAAAGTCTTGTAACTTCCTTATGTTCTTTATCTGATAAACAGGCTATGTCATGGGAAGGAATATCATGTGTAGATTGTAATGGTAAACCCAACTTCAAAATGGACTGGGTTCCAAAAACTAATTAATCATGAAACATGTGCTGGAGCAGATGTGGAGGAATGTCATCAGACCTTGGTATGTTGATAGTGGTTGTTCCAGGCACATGATAAGAGACATCTCTCAACTGCACGACATTCAGAACTTTAATTGAGGGTATGTGTCCTTTTCGGAAAGGGAAAGAAAAGATCACAAATGGGGACCGTATTTAATGGTGTGTTGAAGTTTGATAACGTCAACTTCGTTCCGGAATTGAAACACAGCTGAGGTTAAACACGTTGCTACATCTGCTTGCTGTTCTCAGGTCATCTGGATACAACTTCAATTGCTGATTTACGGTTTGAATTTTCTAACTCTTCTCTTCTCTATGATAATGGTGTTGATTTTTAATTGTCCAAAAGCCAAATTTTTCTTAAAACCAAGCTCGTGCTTGTGGGTTTTTTAAAAATGATTCGTTTCGAAGATTAATTTTTATTTTTTATTTTGTTTGTTTAAATTTGTGCATTTATTTTATTTCCTTTCTTCCCATGCACAAATTTAGGGGGAGAAATCATATATATATATATATATATATATATATATATATATATATATATATATATATATATATATATATATATATATATATATAAACATAAAAATCATAAAATCAAAAATTCCAAAAATATATGTTCTTTCGTAAGTGTTCTTGGGAAGTGATATGAAGTTTAGTGTTAAAGGGCAATCCGAAATTCGTGTAATGCACTGAAGCTGAATTGCTTAGACTTTGTGTTCAATGTGCTGGTAGGCACG